GGGTGTTTGATGTCGTAGGGGATGGTCTTTCCGAAGCTCGTGGCTTTCCTTGCGAGCCGTTCGTAGGGGCGTCAGGAAGAGGTACTATCCAAAGCCTGGCGCAAGAAGTTGTTGTAGTCGTGGGCTGATTCACAACGTAACTGGCCGGAAGGTGGTCGATTTAGTGAGGATTTGGCGTATTTCAGCTCAAAAGCTACCACGTCGAGGGCCGCCTTCCCGCAAGGAGATGCTGCCAGAAGAATCCCTCTCAATTTTCCCTCCTTCGTCTCGACCGTATCGAACTCCCTCGTGTCAATCCAGGTCGATCGTCGCTCGCGCTTCGCAGTGTTGTCGTCGTCCTCTCTCTTCCAATCGTCGAGCTATCCCAGCTTCAGCCTCCAAAGTCGCCGACCGTTTCCCCTCGAGTCGATCGCTAATCAGCCTGCGAATATCCGAAATCTTTTGTCGCGATTCGTTTTTACCCCGCAAATCTTCGTCCGCGACGTAAGGTTGGCAGCCGGAGTGGGAGAGAAGAGAAAAAAACGCTGCTTTGTCGATACAATGAAAGGTAATGAATTGCAGAGTGCCTGGCTACCTGCCTGCTGCTGGTCAGTTCAATTCTCCAGGACGGGACGTTCGATAATGTGGCGCACGGACGTGGCTGGTGAATAGGTGGAGACTGGAGAGTGAGGTATCTCAGCCACGGTGCGATCCGGTTGGTTCGGAATATGGAGACGCCCCGATTCCGCTTCTCGAGCATAAAAATTCCGAGCTGATGGGTTCCAGCACACTGAGTCTCCGAGATTGACAGTATGAGTGAGCGAGGGGCCTGAAAGCGGGTCATGATTTGCACGAGCCACGCTTGCTCATGGATACATCAGGTTGAAGCAAGATTGGTAGCAGCCTTGGGGGAAGCGGAGGTCGCTTTCTCAAGACGAGTTGTAGATGCAGGCATGCGGCAAGTCGTGAAAATGCAGCACACCAACTCTCACTCTCCTCGCGTAAAAGACTACCTTGACTGCAATTTCACTTGCCGTACCAAGAGCTCCATGTATTGATCTTACTGGTGAGCGGCCTGTTCAATCATCAGAGAACGCAATGGTTTGAATGGTTGCGTTACCATGTACCTTGCGTAACGACGCCCACTACCCCATATATCTAGTACAGAATCTCCAACAAACAATCATGACCAGAACGTATATTCTATTAAAAGCATATCTTCTCCCGGCAGGTTCGGCTCGGTCGTTGCTCGACCAGCCAGATCCTCTGCCGCTGAATAAAAGCTCCCCTATAACCCGTCTGCGCCAGCTCGTAACACATCCATAGGACCTCAAGGTGACACAAAGGCTCTCGAAAGACCTTGGCGCCCCCCTTTCTCTCGCTCTTCAAACCCAAGTTTCCGCCTGCTGAAGACAATGACCGGAGCCCCCCACCTTCATCGTCGTGGCGGCGGCGGGCGCACCCTCGTTCCACCTTTTCGGGGAGCGGCGGCGACGATCTTGGGGGAAGCCCCTTAACCCTCTCAGCACTTTCCGCTTTGCTGTAAAAAGAAGTCCAGACCGTAGCAATGCAGCTTGCGTCTTATGCGGACTGCTGCTGTTGCTGCTGCTGGTAGTTGTAGGCGACGTATGCGAGGACGCCGCCGACGAGGAGAACGGCGTACAGGCCGATGCCGAAACCGGGGCTCTCGGTGCTGGAAGCTGAGCTGCTGGCAGCGACCTGCTTCTTGGGGGCAGGGTCGCCGGGCTGTGGAAAAGGGGAAAGGTCAGCACAATTGCTCTGTAGCTTATGCGCGCGCGATCGCGGCAGAGGAGAAATCGTTGTTCAAACTCACCTGGCGCTTCAGGTCGCCGAGGTACAATTGGTCCAGGGTCTCGCGGGCCTCGTCGCTGTGTCCGACATCCTCGAAAGCCTCGGTGGCATCCTGACCACCGACGTCAAGAAGAACCTCCTCGCCACCGCTGTCAAAGGAAAAAGAGGTCAGTTGGAGGAACTCGCCAGAGAGAGATTGAGGTCCGAAAGAGGGGGACACTGGCGCAAGAGTGGCGGAAGGCAAGAGCAGGCCTAGCGAGTTACTTACGGGTGCTCATCGACGAACTTGGTGCAGTCGTAGATCTTGTCGTGGATCACCATGTAGATGTCCTTCTTGGTGTTGTGCTCAGCAACATCCTGGTAGGTGAGTTCGACAGCGCCCATTGTGTCTGATTTGTGTGTAGAGAGACCGCAAAGGATTGTTGTTGGTAAACGTGGCTCCTATTTTTTTTCCTTCCTTGTTTATCGGAGGGGTGGGAAGTTTGTTGAGGGTCCTTGCTGATTTGGCTAGGATTCGGTGTGAAGAATGCGAGTCGGTTTGCGCAACACAAGGCGGATGGAAAGAATCACAGGCGGAAAAGTTTGGCTTTGGAGATGAGATTAGGTGAGAGGAAGGGGGGTTTTTTTTTTTAGTGCAGGAGGAAGTAAGGAAAAAGGAATCGGACGAGAAGGAGGTCCCTCGGATGTTGTTGAGCCCGTTCACACTGCTTTATCGCGGGACCCCGTTAAAAATCGGGGGGAGAGCGCAGCACTTTGCGGACTGGGACTGACAGCTGATGGAAGCTTCCGCTGGGACCAAGCGGTCACTTCGCAGTAAGGTATGGGCTGTGGACACCTCACAATAGCGCTGGGCTTGGGGGGAAAGAGGGTACCAGCAGTCCGCCCAGGGGTGGACAATTCCTCGAGCCAATAGGAGAAGAAGAAATTAGTGCACAGTTGCCGTGATTCGCTGGACTAAGTGTGGGCTGGGAATACTTGAGAGAGGTACCACAGTAAAGTAGGCGGCAGCACAGGGAAGAAGGTGCGATTTGAAAGGGGGGAGCCAATTTAGCTGGGCGGAACTTGGTACCTTGTAGAGTCAGAACACTGCCTTAGACAAGTATGACCGGTAGGTACGTGACAATGGAAAGAACCCGACTACTTCCACAAGTTCCATGGCCTTCTTGCTTAGACCAGAGAGGAGAAGCTCGCCGGCCTCCTTCTCGGCATCGCACTCGGGTAATTGAACCCCAGCCAGACTGACTGACATTTGACACCCTTCCAAGGCTGCCACCGTTTGATGCATAGCACACCTTGATCACCTACCCCAATACCTTAGGTTGGATTTCAGACCAAGGTATTCGTATACTTCAGTCTTACTCACCTGTAACACCCGTGTCGATTTGCCATAGCCATCAACCGGAACCTAGGACCTAGGTAAAACTGCCCTTCCTGGACAGCCACGTCTTCCTTCACTTCACCCCGCTCATTGATACTCCCAAAGCGAAATGTCGAGTCAGGGCTGCCGCTGCAAAACTTAAACACTCGCCGCTTAGTACCGGGGGTAGTCTTGCATCTCTTTACCGCCCCCAGCTTCCGCGGTTGATCAACACTTTGAAAGAGAGAGAGAGAGCACGTTGCTAGCTCGTTTCGAAACGCATGGCCCCCTCCAATGCTCCAACGGGGCGGAATCACATCGGTGTCCGCTACCGAAGCGGTTCTATTATTTTAAACTATCCTTCTATTTGGTACGGCTTGTATTACAGGAATCTTGAAGGAAACCGACTGCAACGTCCCCCCCAAGCATGAGCAAGCACACCGAGTGTCTGTACTCTTACACTACACATGGGTCTGGTCCGTCCGGCACGGTCTCTCGTCTCCGGGGTCGAAGTCCCCAGTTATTCGTGTTCGTAAACTCGCATTGCCAATCGCTGCTGCTTCCCAGGCCTTCTCGTGGTTCACCAGCAGCCCGACTGCAACACCAAGTCCCGCAAATGCCCACACGTACCGCTGCAAGGTCATTGTCCCAAATCCCGCTTTCACGGGGATACATACCGTTTCCCACCCTTGCCATCTGCGCCGTGCCCTCCCCTCGTCGTCAATCGACTCAATCCTGACGCTATCGTTCCGTCGGATCTTGCCTTATCTCGCCGTTCCGCGGGGTTTCCTGGGCTGGACTGAATTAGCCTGGCTACCGGGCTTGCAGTCTAGACTGGACCAGCTGGGCACACACACACGTACGGGATACACCACTACACTGCATATCTGTACCTCGCATCTGTAGCATCGCAAATAAAGGGCCGCTCACACGCACGCATGCACACTTCGGACGGACTCATCACTGACCATTAAAAGATTCCGGATCCCACGGAGCATACGGGAAGTCCAATTCCTCCAACGGAACATTACCCCAGCTATCATAAACTCACGGAATACATAAGAGAAAGGTCAGCATCAGCTTTCCTTAATTCCCCGGTCGACAAGTTTTCCTGTAGTATGGAACATATCGAATGGCCAATTCCGCCGTACGGATATTTCGCCCAATCCCGCAACCCACGTTCGGGAAATTCGGGATGATGCCGAGGCAGTCCCGGGCGGTCTCCGGTCTCCGGTCTCCGGTATCGTCATTTCCCTTGACTCTCCCTCACAGGCTCCCACTTGTGACTTGGTATGAGCCCAAAAGGCGGGGAACGCGCGGGGTAAAAAAGATTGAGATCCGGGCCTCAGCTCTTGACTTTTTCTTAGATAATCGGCTGCGATAGCTCTTTTTTGGGCGGTCGTGAAGATGTCATCGCGATATGTTACCCGATTAGGTAATTCCCGCCGGTTTTGATTGACAAAGCGTCTACCGACCATTTCTTCTCTAATTTTCAGGCAATTACTGCAATGGAAAAGCTGATGGCCCGAAAGCTGAAGGGGTAGTTCAGCTACATTGCTTATCTGCTAGATATCCTCGAGTCTCTCTTTTGAAGTAAGACGTGACTTTCGCAGTCTATTCTTATGCACACCCTTCCCCAGAATCACACGCGGGAATGAAGCACATGTCCTTACCAAGGTACTTGCACTGGAAACTCTCCTGACAGCAAAGTGATGTGTTGATGAAGAAAGCTTTTTAAACCATTCCTAGCTTTGGCATGCTGAATGCACCAGTCGAGCAAACACTCTATATGTAGCCCTTAACAATCAAAGACTCTCTCTCTTTCTCTGTTCTTCTCCCCCACGTCATCCCTCTATTTCCGGCCACCGCCAATATCCTGGCCCAGCCTGTACGAGGTAATCTTGTCCCACTCAATCTTCTGCCTCGTCACGGGCAGCTGTCGTCGCAGGCCCTTGAACGCGCCCTCGCTCAGGCTCGTGAACCCCCTGTTGAGCTCCTCCTGGTACTTCTTCTCCGACGCCGCAATCTCCTTGACGATGCCCGCGCCCGTGCCCGACGAGACGGACGCTTGGCTGGGCCGGCTCGTGAGCAGCCGGACGTTGCCGTCTTCGTAGTAGTGCACGTCGACCTTGACGGAGCCCTCGAGGGCCTCGGAGGAGGGGTCAAAGATGTAGACGGATCGCCAGCGGCCGTTCCTGTTTTGCGCGCACCCTTGTGTTAGTGCATGTATCCACGGCGGTAGGAAAGGCCTAGGGGAAGAGCTCTATAGGGGTAGCACGTACCAGAAGTTGTTGGGAGAGTACTTGTTCGAGACAATTATGACTGCCACCTTGGAATCGTTCTCGGTCGGGTAGACGCCGTAGGCTGCGTTGGGGAAGTGTTCCTGGACGTAGGGGCCGAGGCTCTTCAACGTCGACTTGCTGTTTTGCGTAGTTCTCTCTCAGCATCACTGCCCCCATCTCGTCCCGTGTGTGTCAGATTCCCGTCAGGGAAAAAACCTACATCAAGTCCGAGTTGGCACTTTCCAAAACGTAGCTCTGCACGTTGCTCGCCTTCTGTGTGGTGTGGTCAAAGGAGAAGCTCGTGGAGCTCTCCACGTCAAAGTACTGGCCGTCGCCGAGCGAGCTGTGGGCGCTGACAATGACCTGCTGGCTCCCGCCCGGCAGCTTCACCGTGACGAACTGCTCCTCGTTGTACTTTTCAAACGCCGGCTCGAGGCTGGAGACGATCTCAGGGTCGGATACGGTGAGAGACTTGATATCTTGGCGACGGGGTTAGCAATTCGTTCGGAGCTATCGGCCCATTCGTCTTCGTGGCAGGGTCGGGGTTAGGCAAGCGCGTTTTACCTGCAATAACATCTGCGAGCTTCAATCGACGTCAGCCTGGGGTGTGGTTCGCGACGTCATGCGCGTGGTAAGGGGATGGAGCTGGAGGTGGCTGGGAAGGTACCTCGCCTGGGGGAGCGCCCTCCACAAAGGAGGACACGGTCTCGACTTGGGACATTGTGAGGCTGTGATCTGGTACGGCGAATTAAATTCTGAACGCGAAGTCGATCGTTGAGTCGGTGACGATTGCGGCTGGACGGAGTAAATGGAGAGCTGTCTGCCTCTCTCGAACGTTGAAACGTAATGCGGGGCAATTGGAGGCGGGACATGGGGAGGGGCGGATTGGCTGAGAAAGGGGGTTAATTGTTAGCGCGAGACCTCCACTTGAGCTGAAGGAAGTGGGCTCATGATGTACTTTCTCATCACGAAGCGAATATGTCGATGGATTCGCTGCCACTTGTATCTAATTCATTTCTAATGCTAGCAGAACATTGCTTGTGAAGTTGGATGGCATATCATTAATAAGGGTATGTGCTATGTTTTGGATTTTCTTCTTTTTTTTTCTTTCTCCATCACTCCTGGTCCCTCACCACGTCTCAATAGTCCAGAACCCGCTTAATATTGTCATAAACCCCTAAGACACGTTAGAAATCGTTGCAGCATATCATGGGGAGGAGGCAACACTTACTTGCAACATCAGGAATGTTGAACTTCTCATAAAGCAACGGAGTGTGGATGCTCCATCCAGCAACCCTCGCGACCGGCGCCTCCAGCCTCAAAAAGGTATCAGGATCCTCCTGGATCGTGGCAGCAACCTCAGCACCGATACCAGCATTCACCATCGCCTCGTGCACCACGATGCAGTGGCCCGTCTTGCGCACGCTCTGGAACACCGTCTCCTTATCCCAGGGGTACAGCGTCCTGAGATCGATGAGCTCGACAGAAATGCCCAGCTCCTCCTCGGCCTTCTGTATGGCCGACATGCACGTATACAGCGGCTGTCCGTACGAGATAATCGTCACGTCCTTGCCCTCCTTCAGGACCTCGGCCTTGGACAACGGCAGCGTGTACGCCCCCGCGGGCACCTGCTCGACGGCCGCGCGGTAGAGTATCTTGGGCTCCATGAAGATGCACGGGTCATTGCTGCGTATGGCCGCCAACAACAGACCCTTGGCCTGCAGAGGTGACCGTGGCATGATCACCCGCAGACCGGGGATGTGCGTGAACAAGCTCTCAGGCGACTGGGAGTGATAGAGAGCGCCGTGGCCGACGCCGCCGCAGGGCATCCGTACCGTCAAACCACCGACGCTCCGGCCGCAGGCGCCGTCTCTGTACCGGTACTTGGCCGCCTCGTTGACGAGCTGGTCAAAGGCCGGATAAATGTAGTCGGCGAACTGTATCTCCGCAACGGGTCGCATACCCTCCGCGGCGGCGCCAATGGCGAAACCCATAATGCCCTGTTCCGTCAATGGCGTGTTGAAGATGCGGTCGGCACCGTACGTCTCTGCCAGCTTCATCGTGCACCGAAAGACGCCGCCAAAGGCAACGTCCTCGCCAAAGACCATGACGGAGTCATCCTCAGCCAGGGCGATGGAGAGGGCGTCGTTGATGGCTTGGAACAGGTTCATCTTTTTTGTCGTGCCATCGCGCACCTCCGCCGGTAATTCGGCCGTGCCGAGGGCAGTTTGGGAAGAGTGCGCGAGGAGTGATGTTGTCGCGTAGTCCACTGGGATGTTGAGCTTCGCATTGGGCGGGTGTGTCGAGTAGAGCCGGGGGCCCGCAACAAGGGGTGACAGCAGCTGTGACGATACCGACGGCGCCAGCGCTCGCCGCAGTGGACGTAATGAAATTGACGACGACCTCATTGTGAATGGTACAGAGAGAGATAGGAACCCCAAAGAACCCTTTTTGAGAAGCCAATGCCTTGTGCTTCGTGTGCGTTCTATCCGTAGAGATGAAGGGAATTAAGAGACGGGAGCCGGCTCAGACGAGGTAGGCCCTCGTTGCTAACCCGAAGGATGGCGGGTGATGTAAGTCAAGCTTCGGCTTGCGACGGCGTTCGCGGGGTTGAAGCGGCTCCTGTCAGCCACAGACCCCTGCAGCCACTTAACGCCCTGATAAGGAGGTACTGGGGATGCTGGGGTCACTGGAGGCCAGAGCTCAGGTCGATTGTTGCCCTGCCAACAGCCGATGCGCCAAAGCACCTCCAAAAACAAGGCAGGTGCAATTGGAATACGACATCTTGGTACCTTGGCACCAAGCGAGGGCCAACGAGTACTTCGTACACGACGCATACGTATTTCCCGCAAAACCAGACCTTTTTATCATTTTACCTAACCGCCAGGAATGTCATTCGAGTCGCAAACATTCCTGTGCAACGGCGACTAGGTCACTTTCATCCAACGACGACGACATTTTGCGACAAAACAGAAGATGGCGCCCGGTGAATCTTCGAGACCGTCGTCGCATCGACCACGAGACTCATCGGGCAGGAAACACCACAACAAGAAACGACGATCGCGCGCAGAGGGATCGAGACGACCGGCCACAGACTCGGGCGAAAGCAGGGACGAGAGGAGGTCGCAAACGCTGTCTGTGGATGCGTTGGCGAAGCTGAACCAGGATAACGTCAAGAGGCAAAAGAGAAGGGAAAAGAAAGAAAGAGGTGCGGGTGCTGGCAGACCATCGAGGGACGCAGATGCAGACGCAGACGCAGAGCGGCGGGAAAGACGGAGGGCACGACGCGAAGCAGCCTACAGAGATGCGCCTACAGAACGACCAAAGCGGGTGCGGCGAGAGGTGGATACGGAGGCAGTCTACGAAAAACCCAGGAGGGAACATAAGAACAAAAAGAAACGGGTGGTCAGCGGCGCAATTATGGAGGAGGGACGGTCAAGGGGCCACTTGAGAGGCGGGGGATGGAACAGCTCTGACCACAGCTTCGAGAAGGAGTATCTCATGGAGGACCCTCCAAAACCCGTCAAGAAGCGGAAGAAGCTTTGTAAGTTGCTTTGAGTCGGGAGCTGGAGACGTTGGCTAACCACCCATTAGGGATATGTCTCAGTGTCTCATTAGTGCTTCTCATCATCATCATTGTAGTAGCGGTGGTGGTCAGCAAGAACAACAACAAGAGCAGTAACACGAAAACGACCCTCGACGACGGGAATAAGGACAGCGTCCCGATGAAGTGGCGTGGTACCTATCTCGACCCGTGGTCATGGGACGACACAACCGACTTCAACGTCACCTTCACCGATCAAATGGTCGGTGATCTGCCCGTCATGGGCCTCTACACCGACTGGGACGACTCGAAAAAGGCAAACGATAAGGTGCCGGCGCTCAAAGACGCATGGGGCTCGTACGGCTCGCGGCCCGCCCGCGGCGTCAACGTCGGCGGCTGGCTGAACCTCGAGCCCTTCATCACCCCGTCGCTCTTCAACTACGACTCTAGGCTCGGCATCATTGACGAGTACACGCTCTGCAAGCACCTCGGCACGAAGCAGACGGCCGAGGTCCTCGAGAAGCATTACTCGACTTTCGTCACCGAGTCCACCTTCAAGGAGATCGCCGACGCCGGCCTTGACCACGTCCGCATCCCATTCAACTACTGGGCCGTCGAGGTCTACGACGGCGACCCCTACCTCTTCCGCACCTCGTGGCGCTACCTCCTCCGCGGCATCGAGTGGGCTCGCAAGTACGGCCTCCGTGTCAACCTCGATGTCCACGGCCTGCCCGGAAGCCAAAACGGCTGGAACCACTCGGGCCGCCAGGGTGCCATCGGCTGGCTGAACGGCACCGACGGCGCGACCAACGCCCAGCGCAGTCTCGACATGCACGACCGCCTGTCCAAGTTCTTCGCCCAGGACCGATACAAAAACATCATTGCCTTTTACGGCCTCGCCAATGAGCCGCGCAACGTGGATCTCAACAACGCCGACGTGGTCTCGTGGACCGCGCAGGCCTACAAGCTCGTCAAGAGCAATGGCATCGGCGGCGTCGTGGTCTTCGGAGACGGCTTCATGGGCTTGGCCAACTGGCAGGGCAAATTGACGGGCTACAGCGACCTCGCGCTCGACGTGCATCAGTACGTCATTTTCAACACCGATCAAATCGTTTACACGCACAAGAAGAAGGTCGAGTACGCCTGCAGCGGGTGGACGGAGCAGACGGAGCAGTCCATGGATACCTCCACGGGCTACGGCCCGACGCTCTTCGCCGAGTGGTCCCAAGCCGACACGGACTGCGCCAAGCACCTGACCAACGTCGGCTGGGGCAACCGGTGGACGGGCACCTATAACACGGGCAACGCGACGACGTCGATCCTCGAGCCGCGGTGCCCGACCGAGGACTCCAAGTGCGACTGCGACACGGCCAATGGCGACGCGGGCGGCTTCAGCAGCGACTACAAGAAGTTCTTGCAAATGTTCGCCGAGGCGCAGATGCACTCGTTCGAAAAGGGGTGGGGGTGGTGGTACTGGACGTGGGACACGGAGAGCGCGCCGCTGTGGAGTTACAAAAAGGGCCTCGCGGCCGGGATCCTGCCGGCCAAGGCGTACGATCGGGACTTTGACTGCTCCGGGACCGTGCCGGACTTTGGGAGCCTGGCAGAGACCTACCGGATGTGAGGAAGAGAAGAGATGGGAACAGGAAATTGGACACGGGTTCGGAAATTCCGTACCGGAGGTCCGGAGGTGAGGTGCTTTGTGAGTGGGCCTGGTCGTGCGGCTCTGTCGACGACGTGCGTTGTGTTGTCCGACGACATGCGTACCGGAAGGTTATATATGTGTGCTATTTTGCATGCAATGGGCGTTTTGTGTTTTGTATTTTTTTTTTTTTTCATCCTTATTGATTTTCTTGTCATTTATCCCCTATTTTTGGAGGTCAAGGGTTTAGCAACTGCATTTTGAAATCCAACGAAAGCGAGAAACATCAGTATACTAGACAGAGTAGCGGGCTCATCATGATGACGATCATGTAAGTAAATAGAGGTACGAAGGAAAAGATGGAAAGGGTGCTCATGTATGATAATAACGCTTATGGAGACTGCACATGATTTCAACTCCATCAAAGTAGATAGATAGAGGAAGAGAGAATGGAGGAAATGATGAAGGAATCACGAATTGTCGAGGAATACCTGTCCCTACCTACCTCGCGCTTGTGAGCTTGAATATTGTAAATCACAAACAATCAGTAGTGAATATCTTGGATTACCAATCCTCATCGTAACTCCGTGGAATACTCAGCCTAAAGGATTTCCACGCCTCAAACCACAAATCAAAACACGTGGTTTGCCTTACTGTGTACAGATGATCAAATCCATCAGAGCTAAACCACACCCAAAGGCCCCGATCGGCGAACCGGCGCCGCGGGGAGAAAGGCCCAAATATTGAAAGTGTCTGTCTGTGTGGCAAGCTGTCAGAAAAATTGGCAATGCGCACAGACACTGGACAAGAGACCAAGATAACGGTCTCGCCCGGCGCCGGGAAAAGCTGCCGACAATTGAACGTGACTGACAACCCTCTCGCGGCTTCGGCCCTCTACGAAAGAAGCGAGAGTGACAATCCAGTGTTTTCTTTTTTGCTGGGCCTACAAGATGCGAAAGCGGGGATCGACCACCCAAAGAGCCCACATGCCGGGCAGTCTGAACTCTGAACCCATCACGTCAGATCTCAAGAGGGATAGAGTCGGAAGCTAGCCAAAGTATGATAGATGGGGGAGGACCACCAAGCTTGTCGCGGATTCGCACGTCCTCCGTGAGTCTGTAATCTGTGAACCATTCCATCGGGCCGCGTCTAACAGCCGTGAGTGGAATTCCGCCAAGACGGGCTGGGTTTCTCGTCAGCACCACATCTCGACCTATGTTGCTCGAATAGTCGACAGACCAAGGTTACAGGGCCAATTTTAGCACCTGTGACTCGTTGCAGAAGTAACAAGAGGTGACAGGCGCCTCCTGTCTCATATGATCCTAGGTTCCAGACGCCGACGATCCCCCCGTCTCTTCCCGCTACCGCCAAATGAATGAGGAACCGCGACTTGTGAAAGTCTGGAATGAGCCGAAAAGGTCGTAGTGAATCTCGGCTCTTCCGACGTCATATCCATAGCAGTTTATTCCCGACAGAACCCCGTCCTTCAGTCACCCTTTTGGCTAACACAAATACAGCCAAGAGAAAAAGTCATCGTAATACTAATAAAATGTTAGCAATCGCAAACTCGCGCGAACCAACGCCGAACAACTCAAGGCCCCTTCTCATTGGACCCTTCCATCTGCTCTCTCGTGAATATGCTGTTGGCTCCGATGCAGGACTGGAAGATCCCCAAGGCCATGGAGGGTCCAACGCAGCGTCATCCATCCCACAGTTTGTCACCCATCCAGGGGGCTCTATGACACGCTTGCATGCCCCTCTCCATCTCCTCTCCTCTCCTCTCTTATTCCCTTCCGCCGCGATGACGAGATCCACCCTAGTCCGGGGTGTGATTCCTCTCGAAAGAGCGAACCGCGTTCTGGGCTGAATAATCGTCGAGAAATGCATGGGAAAAATCGCCAAACGGGTCGCGCCGTCTAGCCATCCGGTCGTCTTTGACTAATGCGTGTGAATGGATGCGGTGCCGATGGCGCGAGGTCCCCACTATCCCATCCACATCGAGGTCCTCGCACCTTTCTTTGCCTTGTTATCGGGAAAGCTGCAAAATCCATGAAAAAGAGGTTCTCTTCCACAAACAGACTCATCCCTTTCGCGGTTTCTTCTTCTGCGTCTTTGAAACAATTGGAAGAGTTGCAATGAGAGAGGAGCCGTTTCTCCCACTTCCAAATAAAAACCACAGCCCTGTACATACCTCCGTTGGCAGATCCTGTCACGATCCACACGACCGCTGGAACTCGGAACCCGGCCCATAATAACCACGCGGGTTATCCGTACAAATATCCGACATCCGCAATCGGCCGACTACTGTGCCCTTGATATCAAGTCGTTATCGAGTGGTCCTGAGTAAGACCCAAGTTGGAAAAAAAATTGTCGAGAATCGTTGCTGCTTGTTTATACTTGCGGTATTTGACGACAACCATGACGAACGAAGTCGAGAGAGACATTGAAAAGGCCGAGAGCCATTCATCAAATCAGGACGATGATAGCGCCACAGTCCACGAGGACTCAGGCTTCGAGCCCATCCGCACGGGCGCCGCCGGTACACGGTCACTCCGTCATTCGAGATCACTGACCCGGACGCGGTCACAAAACGGCTACAGCTGTGACGACTACCAAGAGGACGACAGCTCACCGAGAGAACCGGAAAAGGACCAGTATGAAGTGACTTTCGAGGGCGGCGACAGCGATCCTATGAGTCCACGGAGTTTGGGAAAAGCGAGGAAGTGGCTCATTGTATCCATTGTGTCGTGCGCGAGTTTTTGCGTGTAAGTGAAGTTGATCATCAACTCTGCCATGAGATGTTGACGTGTGAGACAGTACCGCTGCAAGCTCCATCTACACCTCGACGTATGCCCAGATGGATGCAGAATTCGGCAACTCCCGACTGGTGAGCACTATTGGCCTATCAGTCTTCGTTCTTGGCATCAGCTTGGGTCCCATGTTCCTGAGCCCTCTCAGCGAGTTTTACGGACGCCGGCCCATCTACCTCGTCTCTTGGTCCATGTATGTCATCTGGATCATCCCGTCAGCAGTCGCCAAGAACATTGCAACCATGATCGTTGCCCGATTCTTCGACGGTCTGTCTGGCAGTGCCTTTCTCGCCGTGTCCGGTGGCACAGTGAGTGACTTGTTTGCTCGTCATGAGCTTCAAGCCCCTATGCTCATGTACTCACTTGCTCCCTTCATCGGACCGTGCATCGGCCCGCTGATTGGTGGTTTCGTCAACTACAACGCCCACTGGAGATGGACGTACTATGTCATGATCATCTGGGCCTTTGCGCTTTTGGTAGCCATTGTCGTATTCGTCCCTGAGACTTATCGTGAGTGTCCATGGAGGGTGCGCCCTTGGACTAGCTTGTCAGAGCTGACCTTTTGCTTCCAGATCCGATCGTCCTGCGGACCAAGGCACGCAAGATCCGAAAAGAGACAGGTGACGAGCGGTGGAAGGCCCCTGTTGAGAACATGACCAAGTCTGTCATCAAGACAATCGGCATCTCCTTGATGCGTCCCTTCCAACTGATTGCCTTTGAACCCATGGTACTCAGTCTCGACATCTTCTCGGCCATTCTCTTGGGTATTCTATACCTTTTCTTCGGCGCATTCCCCCTTGTCTTCACAACGATCCATGGCTTCAACCTGTGGCAAGTTGGTCTTACCTTCCTCGGCATCCTCGTGGGCATGTTCCTTGCCGCCGCGACGGATCCCTTGTGGCACCGTATCCGTAGTCGTCTCATGGCCGACTTGGAGAAGGAGACGGGCGTTGAGGGTGCCAGCGAGCCAGAGTTCCGTCTTCCACCAGTCATCCTGGGTGCCTTCCTCTGTCCTATTGGCATATTCTGGTTCGGATGGAGCCTTCATGTGCACTGGATCATGCCTATCATTGGATCCGCCATTTTTGGAGCTGGGTAAGTTCAAATTTTCCTTCGCACAGCATCGCAACCATGACCCAAAGTTGGAAAAAGGCCCGTGGTTCCGCAACATGTGCATCTTGCTGCCGTGACAAGACAACCCCGTGGTTGCTTTGAGCAGGCCCTCTGCAGACTTCTGCAGGTTCATGTGCTGGCGTGTGCTTTCGGCCGTTAGGTATGCTTTGTCAGGCTTCCACGGACCGTGGGGTGATGTTGTTTTTCCATCTTGCATGCAGGAGTATGCAGCTGACCGTCTTGATGTGTCGCAGGACTCTCCTCGTCTTCACTGGAATCTTTACGTTTCTTGTAAGTGGAATATGTCCCGCCAACTCCCCGCTTGTGGCGTTCCAGGGGTTTGGAATCAGTCTCAGGCTCGGAGGTTACACGACAGGAATTGTGCTAAGTTTGGGGTTTATAGGTCGATGCTTATCCTTTATACGCCGCCTCGGCCCTCGCAAGTAATGCGTTTGTGCGATGCATGTTCGCTGGTGAGTTGCCCCGTGGCACCAACGCTCTCAACCACTCAGTTGGGAGGTGTCGTGTCTCGTACGCGGTGCTGACTTGGACTTCTCTTTCAACAGCCGCTTTCCCGTTGTTTGGAACGCAAATGTACAACAAGCTTGGATATTCTTGGGCTTCGTCATTGCTCGCCTTCTTGACGGTGGCCATGCTCCCATTCCCGTACATCTTCTTCAAATATGGCAAGAAGATCAGAAGTCGCAGTCGGTTCGCCACGCGGGCGTAAGACAAGGCGGCAGAGAGAAGAAGTCCACAACGGACAAAAAGAAAGTTGACGAAGGTGCCAATGCGACGAGAGATTCAGCGAAGGCCGGTGAAGGATCAGGTGTGGACGGCACCGCACAGACTTTCCACATCGGTGTGGAGGATCAGCAAAGAGGCTGTCTGGCTAATGGCTATGAATGGTTGACAGTGGTCGTATGTAGCCTCGCTGCCGGTGTTGTTGGTCGAGGGTGCCCATTTTGCCATGGCGGGCGCGTTCCTGGCCCAGATAGTCGAGCTGGGCTGCCACTTTGCGTTATTGGACGACTAGTGAGCGGGAGTCGGCGCGCAGCA